ACCAGAGTGGGGAGGGAGCTAAAATAAGGCTGGGGAAAAAAAAAAATCCCAAACCCTTGTGGGTTGAGATTAAGGCAGACCTAATACAGCAAATGTAAAGGCTTCACCCAGAAAAACAAAAAAATTACTTGCTTTTATAGCTGGGGAGACATTGTGTGGTATGGAATGTTCCTTGGTCAGTTTGGGTCAGCTGTCCTGGCTGTGTCCCCTCCCAAGATCTTGCCCACCTATAGCCTGCTGGTGAGGAGGGAATGTTGGAGAGGCAGCCTTGATGTGGTGTGAGCCCTGCTCAGCAACAGCCCAAACACTGCTGTGTTAACACCTTCCTAGCTGCCAATACAAAGCAGAGCGCTAGGAGGGCTGTGGGGAGAGCTAAATCCATCTCAACCAGACCCAACGCGACTTGCTTGGAGATGAACTGCAACAGTTTTCACCAGGTTTTTAATAAACATTGTGTCTGAAAAGTCATGTTTCTTAAAGAATTGGCAGGCACGTGGCTTGAAAAATCCATAGCATGACCTAGTGCACTCTGGGTCTTTTCTAGGAATTCAGTTCTTGCTTGAATACTAGTAGTTGCTGAGAAGTGACTTAGAGATACTATCTCTGATGTTCTTGGTGACCATGGGCTACATGTTTGGGTGTGTTTTTTTTTGTTTGTGGGTGTGGTAATGGTGGTGTGGTCGTGTTTTTTCTGGTGGTGGTCTGTCAAGTCTACTTGTGTTCCAGGTTTTCATCTTGCTTGTTCTTTGTATAGTTCCTATTATCTGGAGGGGTGGGAGTGTGTGTTGTGATTTTGACAGGGTTATTGGTTTGCAGCTGTGAGATGCAGTTTAGAAGTCAAGTGATCCTGCAGCTGTAGTTGAAGACCAGCTCTTGTGTAATTTTCATGTAAAAATCAGGTTCTTTTCAGGGTTGCTATTTACACTGCTTCAGTTCTACTTTTGGGGGTTTGAAATCTGAACTACCACTGAAGATTTACTAATCAGACAGTTGAACTTTTGTTTCTAACAATGTTCTTTTCAGAGCAGAGAGATAAGTGGGAATAAAACTGCCTACTTCAGCAGAGGTTAAGAATTAATTCATGCTGATTTTATGTTCAGCTGAAGAGATGCAGAATTTTGTTGCTGCTACAGGAAGAGGTTGTGATCTTTTTTCCAAGTAATGTGATTTCACTTGCTGTTATATCTCTAATGCTTTTAGACTGTTTAGCAAGCTGTTTGAATTCGCTATATGGTAAAAAGTGCTGTGGAGTTAGATTTTATAGTTTTGATATAGTGGTGTTGTAGGTTAGGGAGTTGAACCAGTTATGATGAGTCTGGCATAAAATAGGTGTCAGGGAGAAAGAGCAGTGGGGAGGAGGGAACAGAAATCTTCCCCTTCTGTAGTATTAAGCTGTCAGATGAATTTGTTTCATAATGTGGAATTGTACCCTTGTGAGAAAGGTGCATAGTTAGGAGCAAAGTACTTCTTTAAATAAAAACAAAACCACAAAACACCCTCCTGTGTGCTTTGGTACGTCATGCTATGCTTTACTGATTGCTTCATTTGCTGCTGATTTGATGGTCTGTATCAAATGCAGTAGTGTTCTGAAGTGTGATTTTTTTTTTTTTTCTGACTGCTTAAATAACTTGCCTTAAAAGAATTGTCAAACTGTGGCTTCTGAATAATGAATGTAATCAGAGTATGCTCTTGATTTGAATGAGCCTGTATACCTGCTTAAGCTAGACTGCCAATTCTACTGTTCCGTAATATATTTCTCCTTGTATTGTGCACTTGGTGACAGACTTAATGTCCTCTTTTTATTATGGTTTCTGTTAAGGAATTTTGTTTGATTTGTTCGGCTTTGGGAATGAGATGTATCTTTTTGGGTACTTTACACAGACAACAAGTAATAAGTGTTTGATTCCATTATGTCAATTCTAAGTCTTGTAACACACAGCCACCTTCTTATCCTTCAGACATACAAAGTATGTGTTACTATTTCCATTATTGAAGGTCTCTTTTTTAAAACTGGAATTGTTTTATGCAAGTGTCTAATCCCCTCTTGACATTTTTTGATTATGGTATCAATTTGTACTCTGAAAGTTTAGGAGTGAGAGGCTTTGAGTTAGTAAACTGAGCTTCAGAAAATTATTTTTGTCTTTGTCTCTGCAATAGGTGGAAACAGTATGAAGCATATGTGCAAGCTCTGGAGGGCAAGTACACAGACCTTAATTGTAAGTTAACCAAGTTTCAAAATTGTATGAGTTACCTGAATGTTTGTATAAAGCAGAGTGTTCAAGTAATATGTGTCTTCTAAAACTGTCGAAGAGATGATAATGTCAGTTATTTGTGAGAAGAAAAACTCTTTTTTTTTTTTCTAGTGCAAGTTTTCAGCTTTTCCCAACTTTCTCAGCCACTTATTTTTCTCTGCAGAACTTACACAGTATCTAAAAAGTCTGGTTTTGCATGTGTAGGACCACCTGTACCCAGGCTGCTTAGGGAACAAAAGTCTCAAAACAGCCCCACTTCCAGCACTTTTCCGTTAGAAAGGAAATACTCTGTGGATGTATGTACTTTCAGTAATCTCACAGGATTGTCAACCACGTGGAAAGGGGAGTAGTTTGTAGAGGCAAAGGTCTAAAATGAGTCCCTAAGTAAGGTTTGAGCTGATCAGGCAAATTCACTATTTAATTGTCAGTCTTGCTTTGTTTTTAAAACTTGGTGTGTGCTTCAGTCTTTCAGAAGAGAATAAGGGGAAAGCATCCTCTCAAATAGTAAAAGCTGAATATGTTCTGGAAGTGATTAATTGCCTATCCCAGCTCACTTAAAAAAAAAAAAATTGTGTTAGCAGCTGCAGATGGGCTGTTACACTGTTTTCCACTCACTTTTTCAGTCTAACTACTCAGACTTAGTACCACTGAGTCTGAAGGGTATTTTTATGTCAGGTTGAACAGATATGTTCTTTTTTTCTATTATTACATCCCATGATGTTTGAGTTTTGGAGAGACTAAAAGATAGCAAATGTAAGCAGTTGATTTCATTCTAATCTTAAACTGTCCAAGCATAGATGAGAAACTGAGAATGTTAAAACAACTTATGTTTGGAAACTAGTACAGGCTGTAGTAATCAGTATTAATGAATTATTTGCAAAGAAATACTTTGAAATTAATTGTCCTGAAGCAGTTTGTGATACTCTTAGTTTACACGTATACCTAATCATTCTCAAGTAATTAGAAAAAATAGAGTTCTTAGTTATTCCAACTTTCCATTGTTTTTTTACGTGACAATTAGCAGAGTGAATATATGCTGTTTGTATCAGGCTGCTTGCATGTGTTCCTGTTTGAGTAATTTGGAAGTGTGCTGTGCTGCTTTCTCTCATGCTTCATATATGAACTTTCACAAACATTCACGGATCAGAAGAATTTTAGTTGTGACTGAACTGCCATTTCTGAAGTTCTTGCTTGTCTTACTGTTTATTCATGGAGTGTTGGGACCAATTTGAGGACTGAGCACAAATAGTACTGTTTTACTGATGGCAGATAACATTTCTTATAGACACCAGGACAGTTCCAACTTCCTGAGTTGCAAATTGTAGTAGTGGTTGGTTAAGCAAGCAGTTTAAAAGTTATTTCTTATATAAACATGTAAATGTTTTCAGAAGTTCAGTAAGTCTTCAGGATCAGAAAGATGTTTCTAAAACCAACTGCTGTCAAGTTATTCTGATAAGGATATTTTGAGTTTTCTTACTTACACATACTATAGTCATGCTTATTTCTGACGACTCTGCTGTTGAATGTGGGTTTTTTAGATTTTTAGCTGTCTTTAAAAACCACTATGGAGAGGATGCTACAAAGCATGTACTTTTTGTGTGTTATTACTTGTATTAGCTAATGATGTGACGGGATTGAGAGAATCTGAAGAGAAGTTGAAACAGCAACAACAAGAGTCTGCCCGAAGAGAAAATATTCTGGTGATGAGGCTGGCAACTAAGGAACAGGAGATGCAAGAGTGTACTGTAAGTATTCAGAGAGCATAAGTGTTTTCAGACTGTTACAGGAATATCGGCTTTTGAGACAGTACCCATGTGCTTTTTTTTGGTATATCTGTAGCATCATGTTTTCTGTGCTTAAAGTGGCAGAGCACTTATACATTTCACTGAGTTTGTAAGGAACACTTCTTAAAGTTTGCTTTCTTAGTATTAGTTATTTCAATTGATTCTCAGCAGCTATTGTGGATGGAAGGACTTCTGCTTCAGAACGAAGGTAGTTCTTGCAAAAGCCATGCTTATTCTAGCATATATCAATGATGCATATTTACAAAAAAATGTTACTTTTGGCTGTCATTTGATGCAGGAGCAAATTGAAACATAAGGATAAGATTGAGCTTACTGGGTTTCATTTGGGATGTTTTAGATTGATATTTATGTTGGATTTAGATAACAGGATATTTATAAGCTTCCACATCTATTTGGCCAGGTAGAGGAAAGAGCTGCTGACTATTTTTATTGCTGTTTCTGTTTCTCCTTTGTTTTTGTGGGTTTTCTGTGACTTTGTTTTCTGTATTTAGTTTTGGTTTCTTGAAACTGCCCTCTACAACTTTGGCACTTCTGGTATTTTTTTTTTATTGCCTTCTTAACATAATTTTCCCCTGCTGCTTTAATTTGGCAGTTCCTGAGAGAAGGTTGTAAAAAGTGTGTCATTGGTAGTTTCTGTAACACTCCTGAGAGCATCTCTTACATGCTTAAGCTCTGTGCAAAACAAGTAACTAGTACTGCAGGTTTCCTGTTACTTTTGTCCTTCCTTTTTCCTGTAGGTTTTCAGAGCTTTCAGATATGGTAGTGTGACACTTAATTGTACACAGTATTTTCACTGCTTTTAAGACCATAAGATGACTTTAGTTTGTCGTAAGCACTGGTATTGAAGAGGAAGAAAAGAGGGAGTAAAGCTTACTATCCAGTGGCAAAAGATGAACCCCAGAATGACTGAGGTTGGAAGGGACTTGCAGTTTGCCTGCTCAGAGCAGGGTCAGTTGGACCAGATTAATAAGGACTCTGCACAATCACTTTTTGAGCATCTCCTAGAATGGGGACTCCAAAATCTCTCTGGGTGACCTGTGCCAGTGTTCAGCTACTGTTGCAGCAAAAGCTATTTTCTTGTATTAAAGTGGAGTTTGTTGTTTCAATTTGTGCCTGCTGCCTTCTGTACTTTCAGTGGGCACCCCTGAGAAGAGCCCAGCTCTGCCTTCTACACTCTCCTGATTCATGCACATTGATAAGATCCTCCTGAGCCTTTTCCTCTTCAGGCTGGACAGCCCCGGTGCTCTCAGTTTCCACATATGTTGTGTTGGATGCTCCAGTCCCTTAACCATCCTCATGGCCCTTTGTTGGCTTCACCCAGTATGTTCATCTTTCTCTTGTACTGGGGAGCCCAGAACTGGACCCAGTACTCCAAATGCCTGACCAGTGCCAAGTGGAGAGGAAGGATCACCTCCCTCGACCAGCTGGCAGCACCTCCTGCTGCAGCCCAGAATGCTAATGAAGATCTGCTCTGGTGTATACTGCAGCACTGTCCTAGTAGTAAAACTACTGTATTGATCTTGCTTCTCTTGTTAGTTTTACTGACAAGTTCTGCTCTAAGGAACAGCAATAAAGGCTTTTTTCTTTTTGAATTCTGAGCGTATACCTGAAACATGCTAAAAAAAAAAGTTTATTTTCCACCAAAACCAAATTTGTGCTACTTTTTTCACCTTTCTTCCTCCCTATTTCTGAAAGAATGAATTAGACAAAATTTGAAGTATTTAAGACTGAATTTTGACAAGATCATGAAGACTAGGATTTTTGGCTGCAGTTTGGTAGATGTTTATAGCTGTGAAGCATAGGTTTTCCAGAACATTTGTTTAGATGGTCTTCTATTAATTTCAGTGTACTTAAAAAAAAAAAAAAGTGAGGGAAACACATGACAGGAACAGGGAGGATGGACAGACACAACCCACCAAAAAGAAACACACACACACACAAGTGGCTTTTATTTCTCCAGGTGTTGACATATGAATGACATCAGGGATGTAATCTCCTCCATAGTGTATAGATGTAGGAAGATCCATCCTTGAAAGAAGGAGGGTAAAAGTTATAATAGAGACATTGACACCCTAAAATGTTTCCAGGTTTAAATACATGTAGTTTCAAGCAGCTCTGGAGGACAACTTGGCTTTGTATTGTTAGGTAGGTTTTTTTTCCTGTAAAGGTAGCAAAATAAATCATGTTGGATGAGATGCTAAGCTATAGGTTGCTAAGTCATTTAAGAAATTAATGAAAACTACTTGCCATATAAGTTGACATGTCTAGTTTTTAATCAAAAAATGGTTCACTATGATAAAATTATTTTTATTATAATCCATATTTACATGAAAAATATACCAGTGACTGCTATTTATATGTAAGCTTTTGATGTTTCCTGATATATCTTAGACTGAGCATCTCTGGTGTTAAATTTCTTTAAAACTACAGGTGAATGTTTACCATATAATGCTTATTGTTCATATTACTCTTAATGCATTTTAGGGTCATATTTTGTACTTATCATATGCAGGTCACATTCAAATTTAAATGGGTAGAAACTTAGGAATCCTATACTGTATTCAAATGGTAGTAGTTGACAAAGACTTCAGTGAGTTTTCTGATCACTGTGTAGAAGACCTTGCTAGTTAAAAATCTACCAGCTCTGTTTTAAAATAAGGTGTGATAGACTTTGTCTTTAGGTGCTGTTTTAATTTGTACCCTTCTTTTAACAATATGAAGCACCTAAGCCTACTTAAGCTTATAAAAGTCAAGTCATCACCTATTAGGTGTGCATGTCAGTAGCAGAATCGATGTCCTGATTCCTTCAGTACTGCTTCTGAAGAAACAAGATGGCCCTTGAGTGCATAGCTCCATTTTATCTCATGCTCTGTGTCAGGTCTAGGAGCAGAATGTATGAGTTTCTTTTGAGCTAGGAGATTACTGAGAGGCTGGTGTTGCACACTTATTCTGTGTAGCGTAGGGGTGAGTAGCTCAAGGGGTAGATGGCAATTTAGGTGTTAGTGCCTCATGTTCCTGGTTAAGCAGCAGCCTTGAGCTACCTTCCCCCTGCAGGAACAACCCCCTGCCAGATGTTGCTGCTGTTGGGGAGGTGTGGATAAGGTATGGGCTCCTGGCAGAGGTGGTGCTGAAGGGAGAGGCCTGAAACCCCTCCCGGGCTACTGCACAACTGCCGTAGGTCAGTACCTGGACAGGCACTGGGAAATTTGCTACTCAAATAGGCTTTCCATGGAACAGGTAACAATGAGTGGAAGCTTCCTGTCGGTGCTACTGGACTACAGTACCTAGTTGTTGTTCTTAATAGTCTATTTGTGGTTTAGGTTACAGCTCTGTTGTGTTTTTTTTTTCTTTTTCATCACTCAGTTTCTTCTCTCCTACTCCTTCTGTACAAGGATATATAACTGGAATTTGAGTATGTTTTCTGTTAAGCGCATGTGTTTTGCTTTGTTAAATTCTTAATGTCAGGCCTGTGGATATCTGTGGACAACTTCATCTGGAAAGATTCAACTGTTTCTAAGAATGTGAAAAGTAGAGGGGTTGGAAATTATATTGTCTCTTTAAAAAAAAAAAAAAAAAAATTCCCCTCCCCACCCCCCAAACAAAACAACGAACAGCCTGATGTTTTCTAAATAGACTACTTTCAGTGTTCTCTTGCCTTGGGTTAGAGCAGAGAGAAAGCTGGTATCAGTGTTTTTATTCTGTTTGTGATAATTGATCCCTGTTTGTCCATCTGATGAGCTTTTGAAAAATACCAGCTAGTATGTGCTTTCATGTTTGGGAGTATGACTGGCCAGTGGGCATTTCAGATGTTAGAGTGGATGTGTCCTGGGATTTGGCATTGAACATGACTATTCCTGTATTCAGCTCTAGCCTGAAGTTGTTCCTGACCGTGGGCAGACTCTTCTGCTCCCCACTTGGAGTACCAGTGGAAGAGAGTGGTTAGAGGGAGCAAAACTGGGGGACTTGGACTGGCTAAGCAGGAAGATGAATAGATTAAGGAAGTAGGTAGAAGGGGTAAAGGGTGTGGGCTTGCTTTGGGAGTGGGTCATGCTGTGGGGGAGGCTGCTAGACCTAGCAGTGTGGATGGAAACCCCGACAGCTGAGAACCCTGGAGTTAAAACTGGAGAAAGCACTTAAGGAGGGATGGGGGAAAATATGAGTTGGAAAAACTGGAGGAATAAATCCAGTGGGATTCAGTCATTCCCAGGAGGGAGTGAGCAAGGGCTGTTTCACTTAAGTAAATTCTTTTGGCACTGCTGTTCTAGGAATGACAGTTGAGGCAAGTGCTCTCTCCTTGGCCTAGGAGCATGAGCTAGAGGTACCCAAATGAGACTGATGACATTGGACAGAATCATTTGGGTCCTCTTAACTGTTTTAGTGCATTTCTGGCATGTATGAGGAGCCAATGCCAGTAGTTCTTTGTGCCACTGATCAAAGGAATCTGCTACAGTTCTTAGGCTGGCAGTAGAAGAGGGAAGGAGCTGGGCCTATGTAAGACAAGCAACATGGGGTGGGTTGTTTTGTTCGGAATCATGTTGCTGTAACATAATTATTCCTGAAATATGTTGCCAGTTGAATGTCTGTATAGTGCAGGCATCTGTTAAACCAGCTGTTTCACTCTCTGCTAGTGCTAGCCCTCACAAAGAATGGACAGGTTTTTGAAATACTTCCAGTAGTGCAAGCATCAGAAAGCTGAGTGGATAGAAAAGATGATAATAGCAGTACATTGAGTAGATCTTTATTCAGTGAGCAACATTTTGTCCATTCGGTGAGGCAAGGGTCGCACGAGGGTAAAATACCATCTAAGAAATGTTAGGATAATCTTAATTTGGACATCTTGTTTCAAAGTAATGTTTGTAGGTGGTTTCTTGAGTGCTTCATTTCTCAAATAGTTTTATGCAGTGCTTTATTCCCTTTATATTTATCTCTGCACACATAAAAGTTTGTCTATTTGAAACTTAGTGTGATGGTTATTTCAGTTATTTTTTTGAGCAGCTGTATAAGGACCCCAAAAGTAATTGTAGATACAGGGAAGTGGTTAAGCTGACAGGGATTTTGACTGTGCTGCTTGTCCGAGTAAAGCAAAGTATGCAGAGAGACTCCCTCCGCTTTGTTGGTGACACCTTGTACTGTTCATCACTGAAACAGTTATTGCTATAAAGTCTGATTGCAAGATGCTGTGCAGCAGGGGGCAAACCCCTCATCTTTCAATTAATGTTTCTTTTTTAATCTCATGGAATTTTCTCTCTTGATGATGAAGAAATGCGTGTTACAGGGAATATAATAAAATTAATTCAGGAGTGAACACTATGAGGCTGATCTGACTTTAGTGTTTATCTGGATTCTAAACAGTTACTATTTTAGGTTTTAAGATTTTCTGTTGTGATGGGGTTAAAATACAAGAAACTTTAAAAAAAATCCTTTAAATACATACAACATTTGACTAACAAATGCTATATTTAACAGAAATTTAGTTAGAATACAGCCAAAATTTCAGTACTAAGTCTTCTGAGTTACCAATTATAAAATTGTAAATCTTCTGGATTGTGGTGATTGCAAAAGAAAAAAATCCAACTCAGATCTGTTTAATTGATATTTGTAAATTACTTTGCTTAAAAAATATGCAAACTTGCACCATGAGTGACTATTGCATTTGCAAAAAAAAAAGTTTGTAAAAACATTTAGAAGCTGCCTTAAAACATTGCTCATCAATATTAGCTGTAATGTTCCACAAGAACTTTCATTAGGTTGCATTGGAAATGAGCTATCTGTTTTAAACAGATAACTATACATACCACTTTTTTTTTCCCCAGAAGACTGCAGGCAGATATAAAAATAAAAAGGAGCATTCTAATGTTCCTGTCATTACTTTGGCAAATGTAAACTGACATGTAGAAAACAAATATTGTTTCCAAAAAATACTGGCCTCGAAAGTTCAAGCTTGGCAGGTGGTGGGACGAGGGGCACATTGATAGGGTGCAGGTGGGCAAAAGTGATTTTTATCCTGGCTGTTTCAGATTGCAGTGTTGAAAGAAGAGAAGCATTCTGGATGTTATCTTTGGAATAACTACTTTTATTTGTATCTAATGGCTTTAAAGTTTTATTTAATGTAGTATGAGTAACAGGGTTTTTTTCTTATTTTATGCAGAATCAGATTCAGTACCTCAAGCAAGTCCAGCAGCCTAGTGTTGCCCAACTGCGATCAACAATGGTGGACCCAGCCATCAACTTGTTTTTCCTAAAAATGAAAGGTGAACTGGAACAGACTAAAGACAAACTGGAACAAGCCCAAAATGAACTGAGTGCCTGGAAATTTACGCCTGATAGGTAAACAAAACAAATACTCCCCAGTCAAGACTTCCCTGACAGTCCCACTACGAGAATGCTATGGTGGGACAGCCAAGTACTCGTTTCCACACCAAGACTCAGACGTTTTGAGGCAAAAGCCACATTCTTATACTGTCCAGCTTGTAATGCTTAATGTAAAACTTACCAGATCAACCTTGTGTTTCAGCTTTTTTTCTCCCCCTTTGCTTCAGAGGCCTGACGGCGTCGGACTATTCTGAAGAAATGGCCATCTTCGAAAAAAAAATGTTTTCTAGAACATGTAGACATTTGCAAAATTGTTCTATTTGAAGAAAATAGAGGGAGAAACAAGTCTTAAAGTCTGTGGCACACTGTGTCTACAGACAGTGGAGGAGAGAGAACCTAGAGATTATAAATCATGAATTGAACATGTAAAAATTCCCGTAAAATGTAGAAGTGGAATATGCTTCGCTCTTAACCTTGAGCCTAGTGACTTAGAGACACCGTAAGTCAGTTTTGCCAATAAGACTGTGGACTTCCTGCTTGTTCACTGAAC